TTATACTGTAACTTATGAACGTTACCAACTGGATATATCAAGATATCTGGATGTAGAAAATGGAAATACAAATAGGCCAATTTTTTTTTCTGAGCTGTGGGAGGAAAATCCCTTGCAAGCTCAATTTTGAGCCTGATTTTGAGGCCCAAGCTTCCCCCAGTGACCTGTGGTGTGCAGAAAGGTGTTTGTCCTTCAGCTGACACCTAGGGGTGTACTTCGAAATACAGGTGATGATATTCAGTGGTACATCCAGAGAAAGGCATGTAATACCCAATGCTGTGCAACAAGTCTTCTTGAAACAGTGGCCAAAAAAATGCATCAGGAGGAGACAAAATACACGTTGAAAGAGAGGAAAATGCAAAGTTCACCAGAAGAAATAAAACATATCTAAAAGTAGATGTAGAAAAACTGCAGGTAAACATGTAAATGTAGTGGCTCCTGTTCGGAAAAACATTGAAGACTACTTTATACCCACTGATACCAATGGGATTTAATCACAGGCTGAAAAGAAAGCACATCCTTAAGCACTTCCCTAAAAAAAGGATGGACTCTGGAAGCAGAACAATAATTTTTTTTTTCTGTAAACACACCCAGTTAGACCCAGTGCTAGCTTGTATGGGTGGTGCCATTAAATCCAGCCACTGCCTCCTGGGGTGATGACTATTGCTGCTGAGGTCTCTAGAAGTGCTCCAAGGAGTAAGAGCAGAGGAGGGGATGTTTGCAGGGTTGGTCCCCACATCTGGAGGCCCACATTCTCTACTGGTGTAAATAAGCGTGGCTTTTTTGACTCATGTAAGACAGGGATTTCTCTGAAAACTCCATAGCTCATCACAGCACTACCATTGTTCATGCCATTACTAGCACTGCTACTAAAATATTAATAAAACCCTAGCCTGTTTCAAAGGGTTGTGCTGAATTGCTTATAGAATGACTTCCATGCTGAGAAAAAAATTACAAGCATAACAGGATTTCAACAGTAATTATTTAAACCTATTTATCTTTCCCTTGTCCACCTTTTTTTTTTTTTTTCCCCCTCGGCTTGACTGACACTCAACGTTATTCATGTATTAAGTGAGGTTCCCTTCCTCGGGGAGCCACAGCCTACCTGCCTCAGTTCTAAAGCCACATCACCACAGGAAGTCCCTCAAGAGGTACCAGGAGCAGAAAAACACTTTATTCCAAATATAACTATCTGCAAGAACAGATGACACAAAGGAAGCAGTTGGTTAAGCAAATTGCTCTCTGTATAAGTACTTTCAGACTGTCAGGTTTGTACCAGTCCTTTCAAATGTCGTTCTGTGTTTCTAGCAAATTAATTTAAAATCAAATTACTTGTTTCCTGCTTCAGAGAGCATGTGGTCTAAAATATATTCTAACTTTAATAAATTAAATTATGTATGTCCAAGCCTGTACCTTCTGCACAAGAATGTACTACATACAATTTCTAGGCACAGTTTAGCCCCAATCTTCACAGGCAGAGATTGCTCCATGATCACTGAGTTACAGCTCTGTCCCTGTCAAAACATAACCCTCCTCTCCAAGGCACATGTTAGGAAAAAGTGTAATATTCAGGGGAGAAGCCAACATGGAAGGCAGCGTATGCACAAGTGAGGCACTCAGCCATAAAAAGGATTTTTTTTTAAATGCAATGTGCATACAACTTAGCACCAAGTAATCTTAATGGCATGTTATTGGTTATAGCACTAAAACAACAGAAACAATTGTTTCATGTTAAAAGTGAAATACAATCTGAGGTGACGTCTCAAGTTCATCTCTGCAGAAAGGTTGTGGACTCAGATTCATTAGAAACTAGGCAGAGTAGGAGAACAGGCTGTGTAACTCAGCTGATCTGATGAATACTCAAGGTGCTAAGCAAATCATTGCACTAAGATAGAGTCAAATGCCCAGCTTGCACCAGTCCTCTATTTACTAACCCTTTGATGTGGTACCAAGACTTAGCAACACTTTCCTAGAGACTAAATTCCAGGAAATGTGGATCCAGTTCCTTCCCAGAAACCACACTTGTACCCAATATCCGAAGAGTTAACATAAATTAAACCTGATGAAAAATACTCTGGCGAATTATCCAATGGGGACAACATGCCCATAAGCTTGGACAGTGTTTTGGTTCATCATCATGGGTTTTCAGACTTGTCCTGCAAATTAATAGCATGGGGGAAAAAAACTCTAAGAGAAAAAGACTCCTCAAAAGAATCTGGATGCGTAGACTGGTCCCAAAAGGAGTGTTAGGAAATCAACTGAGTTTTTACAAGCAACCTAGTAAGCCACCCTCATGGGTTGCAGAGTCTAATTCCAGCTGAAGATCAGCACAGACCTGTCTGGGGAAAGGTGACTTTGGTTTATGTTTAAATTCGGACTGTTTGCTTTTGTTCTGATTCCAGATGATTCGTTCCTCTGGCAGCAATGGCAGTAGGTTTATCTCCTGTAAAGCTCCCCACCGTGGGTGGTTTATATAATTTGTTTTTAATTTTTGTATCAAGTGCCACGTTGCCAAGGCAATACACATTATGTTAATATTTATTGATTCAGTTGTTTTCATAATTTATAAAGTGAAGCCATTCAGCAATACAAAAAACTTTGTGCATGTAAATGGATGGTTGGGAGCCCAGGACACAATTCAGCTCCTTTGGAGCATAAAACGAAAGTTTGCTGCCCTCTGCTCTGATTTGGGTCCTAAAAAAGAGGGGATCTGCCAACACCATACCAGTAATTAGCATGTGGAGGAGGATGGACCCAACATTGTCCCCTTGCATGCTGCAGGTTAGTTGTAGCACCAGAAAAACAGCAACCAGATTGAAAATAGAGCATAATCTGGGTGACATCTCAAGTGTGTTTGTGCACAGACCCACATACTTGTTTGCTGACACAAATAAATACAAAGGCTCCACGCTGCCCCTGAAAAGCACAGATCAGCTAATTGTTTCAGGCTCAAATGGGGATTAGTGCAAATGCCACTCCTTTGGAAAGAGGACTTGCTGTTGGCAAAACAAGACAAATACCTGTCATCAGCATGGATTCACTTTATTCCTTCCCCATGGAAATATCATTTTTTCCATCCCGTGCAAACAAATTTAGAAAGAGGATCCCAGGACCTGTCTTTCAGATGGTGATCAGCTCAAATGGGTTCTCCTGATGCCTCACTCACTCCCTAGATCATGACCCTGGCTCGTAACATTTGTTCCCTGATTCCCTGGCCGGCTGCTGTGGGAAAGATGATGTGCAAAGCCTTTGATAGCAGGAAGCTAAGCAGGTGGGGAGGCAAGAAATGGGAATTGGCTCTGGAGCCCTTCCCCCTTGAAACTGCCACTGCAGAGCCAGCAAGCAAGGATGAAGGATGTGGCAGGATGAAGTTATTTCTGAGGTGGAAAGGGTATCCCCTGTCTCTGGTGAGACAGTGCAAATGCAGACTGCCCTTTACTCAGTACACAGTGCAATGGGAAACCTCAACCCTGTGTATCTTCTCTACTCCCCACCAGACTCATGCAGCCCTTTGACTCTTTGAAGATCAATGTTGAGACACTAATAGGATTTCACAGGTGTCCAGGTTCTGTAGTCACTTTCTAGGAATGAGCTGGTGAGGATATTTCCTTGTGCAGCCTCAGAGCAGTGGAGGCTTGTCCTGGTCACCCCACGTGTAAGTCTGCTCACCCTTGGCCACACAAGTGGGACACTGCTTTACTACAGAACACTGCCCGTCAGAGGAAGCAGCAGCAGCAGCCAAGGGTGCTGGCAACAGAAATATCTCTGCTACAGCCATTCAGAGGTGACTGACACCATGAAATTGAGCCTCCTCAAGAAATGCAACTCAATTAGTCTTTTAATAGATGACAACATATTTTAATCTACAAAGATTCCTATATAGCCAATTTGGGGATATGAAAACCATAATAGGAGTCTAGGGAGCTTTTAATGTATAGCAAACCCAGTTCAGCAGTGTGACACATATAGTTAGGAGAGGACTGTTTACTCTGTAAGCTAATTGTTGATATTTGTGTTCCTCCTTACAGACAGCTATGGATTTCATTAAATTCCCGTGCCTGGTAGCAACTGGCATCCTTTCCCAGCAACAGTTTGAGTCTAGCGGCTGGCACCCTTCCTTTGCAAAGAAGCCAAGAAGTAAATGATTGTGAAAACTGAACTGTTTATATCCTACCTCTGCATAAGTGGAGAAGCAAGCAGATTGCAATGCTGCAGAAATAGGGTGAGCTTGCACTACTGCCTGGGTGGCACCTGTTTGGTGTGTAAACAGGAGACTACAATCCGCAGAGCTGTCAGGCTGACAACTCTCAGCTATGCTGAAATCAGTCTTTTTGAAAAGCCTTCAAAAATATGAGCTAAAATGGGAGAGAAATAAATAACTACAAACCAGAGAAGCGAATCGTGGGTTCTTATTACCAGAACAGATCATTTATGATCCTGGTTCTCCTATTTCACAGATAAATGTAAAACCTTGTAGCACCAATAAAATCAGGTGATTTACCTTACTGCATGTTGAGCATGAGAAAAAATCACCCAGTAGATCAGGAAGAATCCCCTTGTTTCCTTAATATGAGGAGGGGAATATTAATAACACTTATTCTGCTAGGAATAAATGAGGGTTGGTGTTCAACTGCCAATTTTAGGTGTGCACATTTCAGAATCTAACACACTTTGAAGAATTGCTTCTGTAAAGCTGAGCTGCTACTACTCAGTTTAATGAGAAATCAGAGGAAAACCTGGAGTGATACCACGCTACAGTGATAAGATTATAGCTAAGACACAGAGAGGGCCTGTGCTACACCATGTGCATTCCAAGTGCATTATTAGCAGACTACCGTGCTTGCAATACTGATGTTAAACATGTGTTTTCCTACTTAAGGTTGCAAGATATGTATAGAATTAAAGACCTGTAAATTTCTCAGACAGGGTATGAAAACAGGAAAAAGAAAGTCTAAAGCAAATTACTTCAGACTGGTTATCCCCACTCCATTCTATGCCACCTGCTCCATCATTCCACTTCAGCAGAAACAACCAGACATCAGGCTAGCTTAGTAGACAGATTCTTTTTGGTTTTCAGCCCTTATCTATCCCTCACAGTCTTTTCTTTTGCCATTCATCTATGCAAAAGTCAAAAACAATCTAGTGAAAAGGGTAAAATATCAGTATTGAAAGGTGTTGCTCATATTTGCCACTTCTCAATTTGTTTGTTTTTTTTTTTCTTGATGGCCCAGCTTTTATAAGGACCCCGTTTATTAAAACCCAAGTCACTGACACAGGCATGCAGAAGAGCAACATGAACAAATCAGGTTAAATAGTTAAATACAATAGTCTCCAGGTTCAGAAAGAACATAAACCTGTTGCCCAGCTCCTGGGTAGATGAAATTATGCCCCCAACTTGGATGTCCACAAGTCCCAAGAGAGCTTCAACTGTGTCCATCTGTCAGAGTTAAGGTCATTGAAATTTGAACACCTATGTAGCACATTTGTGTAGGTAAACACAGAACTTTTCCTCCTGGTAGACATAATAAACAGATTTTTGCCCCCCCCTGAAAGTCACAGGGTGTTTGGAAGGAAACTCCAGTACTTGTTCTAAAAAAATAATTCACTTGTGAGTACTTAGCTTGATAAAAATACCAGAATCTGGCCCTTAAAATACAGAATGGCTAAGGCTGGCCAGAAACCACAGCTACTCAGCAGAGGTTTTTAAGAGCAAAAACTTCCCTGGAACCAGCCTCCCCTGGTATTTTCTTTCATTTTGAAACAAGGTGAACTAAAACCTCGCCAGACAAACATCACCATAACCACTAACTGCTGGTCTCTAATCAAGTGCTGGATGCTGTGCCAAACACCATCCCCCAAGAAGTGAAATGAGGGCTCAGCAGTGCTCCTCCTCACATTAATCCAGAACATTTTAAGAGTTTGAACTCTGGCCATGGAGGAGCCAAGCACGTTATTTCTAATGGCTTCTGCCTTCCTGGCTCAAGATTTTTTCCCACACCGGACAACACACTGCCCATAATAAAACACAGTTTCATTATTCCGAGGGTTGACTCTTCAAATTAGTCTAAGTGGGAGAACTGGGCAAAAAGATGGACTGCCCAAGTTAATTTAGCCTGTTATCAATTCAATAGGCTTAAATAGGCAGTGAAAGTGTTTCATAAGTGTTCATTGTTCAGAGTTCAAGCTAATACCTTCTGCTAAATTGCATTTTGAAGTTTAATCACAATCTACTTTATGTTTCTTTTGGTAATTGGGATCTCTCCACAGTATAATATAAAGAAATTAAAGTAATGGGCTCCTCTGATGGAAGTTTAAATTTTAGAAGTTTGTCTCAAAGTGTGAGTTCCTGAAATAACCTAGGACCTTTCATCCAAATAAAGCATTATGGGTTTTTATCATTAAGAAAGTCTCATATTATTACAGGCAATAACAACAAGATAACCATTATTTTAAATTTTGGTGTTCTGGACCATAATTAATGGGAGTAGTTTCAACCCCTTGCCCTGACACAGCCACGCATGAACTGTCTCGCTTGGCATAGGAGCTGTTGGGGAACTGGCTGCTGTTCATTTTGTCCAAAACGTTAAATCTCTGCATTTTCTTTACCGAAGGGAAAAACAGTGAGAAATGCTCATTTCTGGGCAGCGTTTTGCTCCGGGGAGGGATATGGATACTGGGAAATGGCACCCAGTAAGCTGTGACTGACGCGCCGTCCCCGGTCCGGGCACTTGTCCAAACGCATGTTGTCAAGTCCCTTACGCCTGGTATCGGTTCTTTCAATGCCAGGCTGGTTTGTTGTTTTTTTTTTTCCCTCCCTCATCTTTCTCTCCTCCATCAGCTCCTTGTATTTCTTGCACCTTAGGCATTATGCTGTGAACAAACGCATTTCCCTGCCACCGCATACTGCATAAGCACCCTAAAACCTTTGTTTGCAGTGTGACTGCTCTAATCACGTCAGCAGAGATCTGACATGGAGGCTTCTCCTTCTGAGAAACAAAATAAACACAAATATCTTGCTGTATGTAGAAGCAAAGATGAGGATGGAGGTGCTTTAAATCTGCTGCTGTGATTTACAGCTCTTTTTCTTCTTCTAATGGCCTTGCTGCTATTCTTCCGAAGACAATAAATACAGAAACATTCTATTTTATTGCTAAAAATAATTAGCAGATAATTGAGTTCTACGCAGCTTTCATGAACGGCAAAGCAAAACATACAATTTAAAAAGGGAGCAATCCAGGCAAACTATGTATGTAATAATAATGAAAAAACTCAGCTATCATACTTAATGATCAGAAAAACATTGGACAAAATAAAGCTGACAAGACAGCTGTAAGGTTTATTGTGTGCTGCATGCATGTATATACGTGTGCTCACTCTCCTGCCAGCAAGAACTGGAGAGTCACCTACAGAATTCAAAGTTATTTTATCCAGTTGCACTAAAGGAGACCCTGTCCCTCAGCCTGGAACTGAAAACAGATGGAATATAAATACTATTTGAAAGGGCATTATGGCTCCTGACAATAAAGTATATTTCCTGCAGTAAAAGGCTGAAATTAATGTACCCTGTCAAATAAACACATGACTTCATGGTATCTCTAATTCATAGATGTTTGAAGTAGTAGGAGCATAAAGCATTGTCACAAATAATTTTATATCAAAATCTTTATGAACTGGCATTTTTATAGCAATTTTCAATAATTCCAGCTACACTTATGTCAACCTGGCATAATTCTATTGACTTTTACAGAACCACTTCAGGTTTGGGAGCAAGTCTGCAATGCACAGAAATTGTACAGTAAAATTTCCACTGTATACAAAGGAAACAGATGTAAGTCCAGATGTAGATGGTGAACTCTCTGTTACCTGACACATTTCATCCTTTTTTTTCTGTCTTACAAATGATGTATCATAGCTAAAGTAAACTTACAGGCTCTGTGCAGAAATTAGTGGCTGAAGTGTCTGATTCAGTGTTGTGAGAAAGCTAAACCATGATATCCTAACAGTCCTCTCTGACCTCAAAACTATAAATCGCTTACTGGCAGAAACATGCAAACAAAAGAGCCATCACAAAAAGTTTTCAATTTGTCAAAAGAAATAAAACGAGTCAGTAATTCTGAAATAAATACAGAGAAGAGAATAGAACCTTAGGGTTTTGATCCAGTTCAGGGCAATACAGAAACTGTAGCAGTGAATAAAGACTGGTGGCAGGCAGCTCTGTTGTTGAGGTGTACAGAGGCAGTTCCTCAACTAAAGCCTGGTAACCTTGTTTTCCTGGAAGATATGTTTGGTAGAGCCTGGGCAAGGGTATATACGCAGGGAGAACTGCCAACAGAGAAATAAAATGTGACTAGGATTGAGAAAGCAAGGTGTGCTCTGGAGCAATGAATACTCATTTGGGGTGCAAAATCCAGGCAGTGTACATCCCCTGGGTCCCCTCTGCAGACCCAGGCCCTTCCTGCAGGCAACATTCTCTGCCGGGCCATGGAAAAGTGAGTCCTAGCAGGCACAGCGGCAGCTCTCTGCTGTTTAAGGATTTCTGCAGCCAGGGGTGAGCTCGAGGCGAGGGGCCGGGCCAGCCCTCCACCTTTGCAGTCTCTTGACGGCACAACCTGGCTACGGTGGGAGCTGGGACCTGGTTGGGTGCGGGGCAAGGCAGCATCAGAAGGGGGACGAAGCTGCGAAGCGCCGCGTCCCGGCAGCAGGCAGCCAGCACTTCCCCTGTGACCCAATTAGCCACTCCGTCGGAACTAATCAATAATGGCATTTCTGAAGCCAAGCAGGCAAGGGCTGCTGGCTCGGCCCTGCGCCACGGAGGTGGCGTCTCTGGGGGAAGCCACGGCCCTGCCTGCCCTGGTCACCCCAGAGGGGGCAAGTCTGAGGTGTGGCCAAGAGCCACCCGGGCGTGGACTTTCTTTTCAGGGCATCGTCAAGATGAGGATAGTAGTCTGAGTAACAGAGCACATGTAGTGATTACATTTAAGAAAGGGGAGAAATCAATGACAACCCTGTTGGGCTGACTCAAACAACAAGGAAAGGGTAGAGCCATTTTCTGAGGTTATACTAATAACATTTACTGACTGCAGGAACTCATCAATGCAGAAGAGGATCCAGATAATGGGCAGAAAAACCTGGAAATCACTGAGGTCTGGAGTAACAGAAACAAGACAGAGTTCAACAGCATAAGTACAGGACACTGTACTTTGGGGATTGATTCAGGACACCCAACAATTCTCGTTTGGAACCTTGTTTTAATTAATGAATCACAAGATTCCTCTGAACCCCAAAGTGATGCCACTGTGAAGGTGTCACACATCACTCTGTGCTACAGCTGTGGGCACCCTGCAGGTGAAGCAATGCTGAAGTGGGAGTTTTGAAGATTTAAGCTTTGTACTTACATATCTAATGTAAACAGTACAAATCCTCCAACATCTGAAACTTTCAATGTAGTTAAATTCTAGGTAAGTTCTGGTCATATTCACTGTGTCAGGTGGACTGGACTGTGCACACTGAATTGTCCTACCCCTTTACTGCCCCCACAATCTGCTTCTTACTCCTTCAGGAAACTGAAAGTTGATGTCCCACATTAAAATATGGTCTTTATAAGCAATCACGAGACACTCTGTGGAGGTTCAAGAAAATACTGTCCACATTTTAATCAGCTAGGAAGCCAAAAGAACCTTAAGAAGATGCAGCCAACACGTTACTCTGGTTGCTGCTGAGCTTTGGGGAGCTGTTTTCCTGCTAGGACAACACATATTTAAATTACCTGACTCAAAGACAGAGGAAAAATGTTCTTATTATGAGGTCAAACTTGTTCTCTAATTCTGAAGGAATCCTGTGGACTGACAGGAGACACTTCCCCAGCACTATGATAAGGGCAAGTAGTTGAGGTTAGATAAAGACATAAGCTAAAATGTTGCAGTGACCAGCATCAACACATGTATCACACCTTAATAATGAATTAGGTTCAAGGTGGTCCTTTCTCAGCCTCTCTCCTCTCCTGTCAGCTTCTTGAACCTGTGTTGACTTTTCTTGTTCAACTTTTCTTCCTGATCCTTCCACCAAATGTGTGGGTTACAGGCACATGTCTCCTGGCTCTCAAAGCCAGCAGAGAATCTCACTTGCATCTGAGTAATCAAAGGACATTTAGGAGCTATCAGGTGGACTTCTCTTTTTTGCAGCCCTCTCCCTGCCACTGCCACAAATTGGTAGCTTTCAGGGAGACGGCTGCAGCCAGTATAAGCTTTGATAATAGGAATGGCAGCTGAAATTTAAACTTAGGTATTTCTATTACAGAGAGGAAAATGTGCAGCCACAGAAGGGTTTCTCATCATCTGAAATTTCAGACTGCTGTGTGTGACACTGTGGGGCCCATTTCTCACAGCCATGACGGCTGGCTTCAGAGTAGTTCTGGGACTTTACGGGAAGAGCCAAGCATCAGTACAGGAGCTGTAAGCTGAGCTGATTATCACCCTAAAACGCTCTGCTGGGATCAACAACTTCGTGGTTCTGCCTGAGACCAGCCTCCCATAAGTCTCTCCGTCGTGACAGATGAGTCTGGGCTGGTGGGATGTGTAAGAAGAATGCAGGTTTATCTAGCTGTGCATTTGAGAGGTCTACATACATATATCCCCTTTTTATGCATTTCCTTTTGCTGCCTTCTCTGTGGTTTTGCACCAATATCTACGCCCATGAGGAAGAAGGCAGTTTCTGGCAATTTTACCAAAAAGCTGCTACATTCCAGGTCAGTCAACAGCTTAAATGGAAGCAAGGAATTTTGTCTTCTCCTGAGAAGTAAATATACATAGACATTCTCTTTGTACATACTGAAATATTTAAATATGTAAAAATATGGATTATAATTAGGGGCAAGTTAGAATAGATTTGAATGTTTAGCATACCCTTGGTAACTCTTGTTTCAGTTCTCTATGATGCCCTCCATACAAAAAGATACTTCACCATAATTGTGCCCTTTCAGTGCAATCATGTAAATTTTGCTCTTATTCACATTGTTCTTCCTTTATGAGCTTTGCCATGGTTAGCGTGGCCATCCTGGCAGGAAGGAGGGAAGGACCCCCACAGAGTCTGGGCTCACAGGATTAAAGCTTCTAGGAGTGGGTGGGGAATTTTATTTCCCAGAGTCCCACGGGGCTGCCCTTCATACAAACTTCAGCAGACTGTAATGCCCACAACTAAATCCTGGGAACTAGGTTTTCATAGTGACCTCCAGGTACAATAATTTCTTCTGCAATAACCTAGGTGTTGATCAAGAGAGTTTATTTGTGGGTCCAGAGATCATACATCATTGGAATGGGGACCATAAAAATGACAGATCTTTGAATAGTTAGAGATCTGCTTTCTCATGGCTCTGCTCCTTATGGAGACATTTATAGCTGTGCAAATTTATTAGGGTTTTGCAGGAAAGCAAATGCAGAGCTCATCATATAATTATAATTTCTGCTGTTGAGCTTCTTCCTATTTTTGTTTATTTATTATGCCAATGTATTTTGAGTCTTTGAGTTGCAACCCCCTTGCATGCACACATTTTCCTCTCTAGATATTTGATAAAATTGTTTGCTGGATATATGAAGTTGCTTCTTGTTTGGACCTTTTCAGCAGCAGACCCCTCAGGCCTGCAGAGAAAGGTTGAAAACCATTGATTAGGGCTATGCACAGGGGAACAGCAGTGACCTGCAGCAGCTGTTTGTCAAAGCCTGCAAAACACTAGTGACAAAACTAATTAATACATTTCTCCACTCGATGCATTGTATGTAATGCACATGCTAGCAGTGAACTATACTATTTCACTGCAATCCAAATATCTTGTGGTAATATGACAATGGTACTCTAATGATTTGGTTTTTGTAATGTCTTTAAAAGGTACAGTGTGAGAACAGCGGTGTGGTTTGGTTTGCTTCTCCTGCTGTGTTTAGTTTCCCTCTTATTTTGTTTCTCTCTGAACCCTCAATGTTTAGAGTAAATAATGTATCAATATTATTGAAACAATTTGAAGAAGTTTTCATAATATTTCCAAGTCGGCTTCTATCCACAATGTTGTTTCACTAAAACACCTGTTTTTCTATGTTAGTTCTTTCCCTCATAAGGAATAGATCTCAATAAGAGTCTAATTCCACATTTACTTGCTATATCTCAATAAAATGGAGAGCTACTTGTTCCATCTACTAAAATACACATCAGCACCTACATGAACACATTGTGCAACTAAATAGAAGTCCACATTTCTATAGTTTTAAGGTGCAGTAAGATGTAAAAATCCCAAACCCTCTATGCTGTAGTTTAGCCTGCAATTATGACCATTACTCTTCATCTTGAGGAAGGTGGAATACAGTGCTGCAACATGCATGTGTCTGCACACACACTTCCAGACCTCATGGACCCTTAGATGAAAAGTTTCAAAGTTTTGCTTTACACTGTAAAAGAAAAATCTGAGAGTTTTTAAGATTGTGACATTCTGTAAGATGAAGCTGAAAGGAGTTTGTAAGTTTAAAGTCCAAAAAGGAAAAAAAAAATACACAAAATGCCCAAACCTTCAGAATTAAACACATTTATACACTATTAAATGTATTTATACTCATGAGTATTTGCAGACAGGCTGATACTAAGAAATCCATCTATTAAATGACTATTTCACTTTTGAAGTGTACTCTGCTTGTACGTTTAATAAAATTCTAGGAATAAAGAAAGACTTCAAAGAAAAAAAAAAAATGTTATCCATGCCACCCACACTGATCCACAGATCATTTCAATAAAAGCATTCCTTAAAAAGGCATGAAAAAAGTCCCAAAAAGTGTCTACCCAAAATTGCAGACTTTTTTTTTTTTTTTTTGTTACCTAGGTGTCTCTTTGGACATTGGGGCTTGATGATAAAGTTTTTTGACCCCTTGCCATTCAGCTCCCCCTGGGGATGATCAATGTGTAACACTTGGTGAGTAGATGCAATAACACTGAAAAGATTTCTCCAATCAAGCAGCAGAAATTAACATTTAGCAGCTGATTTGTGCCTGTCTCCTGACACAGAGTCCTTCCTCGGGGGCTTTTTCAGGGCAGTCCTTCTCTAAGGACAGTTTTGCTTCAAAACTTTCTTCCCCTCCACTGAGAGAGTTGGGATCCCTCCTGACAGCTGGATCTGAACCAGGAGCTTTGATTCAGCTCCTGCTGA